AAAATGAATTAGCTTATGGGTGGAGAAGTACTAATGACTTATAGGTTAAGTGTAAATATTACAAAAATAAGTGAAATTCAAGCTAACAATAAAATTTATTTAAACACTAAGATTTAAAAATAAACTATTACATCTGAAGCCGTTCTATGTTAAAAGATATTATGATAAACTGAATTTTAAAAGATATTATGATAACACTGAATTTTGGACGGGGACAAGACAAAGCGCAAACGAAAAGATAACGAAAGCATAGAGGTGTTTGGGACATCAACTTCCAAGAAGTTGCTCGTCATCTGCTTCAAATAAGTATTGAATTCTTTGCACCCATTAGACGTGACGAAATTTCCAATCCAAAAGTTCTATCCAATTCATGCATTATTGGTTAGGTAATGAGTCCTATATATTAATATAAAATTTAAAAGAATTCAGATTGAAATTAATTAAATTCAAATATGTTAGGCCATAAGTAGATCACATTATCATAAATGATTTGAGTTTTATTTATTTATTTATTTATTAGATTATTTAAAAATTAATTTTTAATTTTTAATTTCATAACCCTAAAAATAGATATAAATAAAATACTCAAACCTTAATTTCCAATCAATTTCACTTTCTCTCAACTTTTTCTCTTCTCTAATCTTGTTCTCTCCTTCTTCATCTCAAACTCTCTAATCTTTCTCTTTGGTGGTAGTTGTATCAAAAATCAAATTAGTTGTTACATAGTGAGCTGTGTCATATAATATCATAAAAAAAAATTTTTTTTAAAAAAAATCGAAAGTAAAAGTACCTACTAAAAATCAAAACCAAGTGATCGAAGTACCCTCATCACCATTAGAAGCACAAAAACAGGAACATCAAGAACATCAAATTTCATTCCTAGTTGCTAGTTTGTTCTTAGTCACTAATTTATTCTTAGTTAATAATTTGTTCCTAGTTAATAAAGATCAATCCGTGATCCAATTTCTTCTTGTATATGTTTAGATATATTATGGATTTACATTTTCAGCTTTAATATTAAATAGGGTTATAATTTTTATATAATATTCTTTTAAATATTAAATAGAACTGTATTTTTTATATAGTACCTTTATAAATATTAAA